GTGCTCCCACAGTCCAGCGATGCAGCTGGGGACCATGTGGTGCTAAAGCTGCCCCCCAGTGAGCAGGAAGGCAGTGAAAGTGGCCACAGGCAGAGGCTTCCGGTTGGGGGAGGGGAATAGGAGAGGGCTGGAGGGGCGGGGCAGCTGGGTGCTGGGTCCTGCTGGCTTCTGCTGGGTCCCACTGCCCTTGGCTCCTCTCACCTTTGACAGGCAGCCAGGAGCAGATAAATATTAATTTTCTAAACTTTTAAGGTGCCCTGTCGGCCAGACAGAATGTCCTGACTGGCTGGATGTGGCCTGTGGGCCGTATTTTGCCCACCCTGCCATAATGAAAAAGAGGGGACCCAATAAATTACATTCATTCTATAAATCAGATCTACAAGCTACAGAACCTCTGTAACCAATCAGTACATCAAGCAGTGGGTGATGACAGTAGTTTCTGGTTTCTGCTATAGTAGTGCTCTCCTGCATCTCTGCCTGATTTAGCATTGCAGTTTAGAATACTGACACTCTGGGTGCGTCTACACTAGATGCTAACTGTGCAGTAGCCTAATAACACTGCACGGTAGCCCATCACAGCACGGACAGTGCTTGAAGTATGATGTATCTAATTCCCTCTGTAGATAAATGTGTGGAAGCACATCAAGATTCCTGATATTAGATTTGAAATAGGAAATGCTTAAAAAACAAAGGTCTTATAAGACGTTTTTAAACACAAGGAAAAGAACTTCTGTCTTAATAGATGATGACATACCAGGTAGGTATGCAAAATATTCTACGCTGTAGAAATCTTAAATAGAATAACATTATTGTGTAGCCTCCAGCCGTCCTGTTTTCTACTCCCACATTCCCTTATTCAGGCTTTGGGGCTTGTGAATTGGCAGCCTGGCATGAAAAAGCTGAGCTTTGGGTTGGCAGGGGCCTGCCCAAGCTTCTTCAGGATAGTCCCCCAATGGCTCTGGTGACCCGAAAAGGATTTCCACCTTTATTCCAAGCCCAAACTCAGCTCCTTATTTGGGGCTAAGTATTTATTTAGGGTTATCATATTTCCAGGTTTTCCCAGACATATCCTGTTTTTGGATCTTCCAGTCTCCGAGTGGTTTTTAAAAATATGATTCAGTGTCGGCAATAGTGGTCAGCTCAGCTCCGAACTTTTTCCCAGCTTGCTCTGGCAAGGAGCTGCTTGGGGCTGGGGGCAAGAGGGGGAGGGCTATTGGAGACAGGGGCGCACACACATGGCAAGCCTGCAGCTGGCAGGGGGGTGGGAACAGCTCTGGCTGTTGCATGCAGGTAAGTCTGTGGGGGGTGGGGGTTGGAGGGCCAAGGCTTGTGGGGTGGGTATGCATGTGTGTCTGCTGCTGCTGGGGGAAGATGTCTGGATCATAAGTGACACCATGGGGGAGGGGGGCACCAGGGAGACATGTGACCCCCTGAGAGTGCTGGTGTCACCTGACAGTGAGCCCTCCACCTTGCAGGGGGGCATGGAAAGCGCTAGTGTCCCCCCTTAAATTGGCTTTGGTGGTGACTGAGGTGCCGCCACTTCCACTGCTGCTGTGCCACTCAGTGACTGGATGCTGGGCCACCCCCCTGCGTTGTGCCCTGTTGGTGCCCACCCAGGTTTGGGAGGCACCAGTTGCTCAGTCAGGGTGCTGGGGCTGCAGCACAGCAGGGTAGGTGGGGGATGTACTTGCCTCTCCAGCAGGGGAAGGTGGTGGTGGGGGCCCTTCAGGGAGCTGCATGGCTGGGCCAGCAGCACCAGGGCCGGTGCCTGTGCTCACAGTGGCAGGGCAGCCAGGAGACGCTGCAGGGCAGGAGGGAGCAGGGGCTGCAGGTGGGGAGTGAGGGGCATCGCCATGTTCCAGGGGGGCAGGTACTGCGGGTGGGGAGTGAGGGGCACTGGCAGGGGGAGCTGTCAGGAGTGAGGAGCAGCAGCAGGACTGGGAGACCCGTGTCTTGGGAATGAGGGGCAAGTGAACCAGCAGGAGCAGGGCACTGGCATAACACTGCCTCCCACAATTATATACCATCCCCCACCAACAACAGATGTCCTCTTGTTTGCAACTGTAAATACAGTAACCCCACTCACAAATCCAGCTTGGGCTGAGCAGGGCCCTGGCCGGGCTTGTTCAGGACAGGAGCAAAGGGGCAGGAACACGTGGTCTGGGGGGACCCAAACAGGATTTCCACCCCCATCCCAGCCCAAAGCCTGCTCTTTCCGCAGGCCTCCAGGGCTGGCTGTAGGCGGCCCCGCATGCAGAGCCCGGGGCACCGCTCGGCCCGGCCCCAGACGCGGGCGGACGCCTGCGGTGGCCGGAAAAGAATTTCCCCCAAGCCCAGCTCCGCGTTGGGGGCTGCACCGGCACGTGACACCGCTTCACACGTGTGTTGGCACCGACACTCGGGCCGCTCCGCTCGCGGCCCCTGCCGCGCCAAACGACCAGCGACGGGGGTCAAGGCACCAGGTGCAGTCTCGGGGGGCGAAGAGAGGGGCTTCTCCTCCCTCGGGGAGGGGCCCCTCCCACAAGATGGTGGCGCACCCACCGCACCAGGGCGGCGCTCTAGCCCGCCCCTCCGGGCACTCTATGACTCTCGGCGCGGGCGACGCGCGGGGTCAGGGGTCCCGCCCCGCCCCCCACGCGGAAGCATTATGGCGGCTCCGAGCTGGCTCCGCGCCGCCGCGCGCATACGGGGGTGGCCGTTAGTGGGGGCAGCCCGGCGGAGCAGCAGCAGCCCGGAGGACGCGCTGGGCGGCGCCGACCCCGCACAGACGCCCGAGAAGAAGCCAAGCGGCCTCGCTAGCGCTTTAACCGCCTTATCGGGCCAGGTGAGGGCAGGGCGGTCACGTGACGGCACAAGAAGCCGTTGATTGGCCTGTCGCAGGGACTGGGCCTGGCGTCGCGCTGCGTCCGCGCCTGGGGCGGGGCCTCTCTGGAGCTGCGTGCAGGGCTGGGAGCGGGGTAGCACCGAGGTGCCGGTGCCAGGCCCGGGCCCTTTTGGCAGGGGCGGGGGCCAGGGCTAGGGCTAGGGCTTTCAGCTGCGCTTGCGCGTCAGACGTACCCAAGGTCTTGGGCTCCCTAGAGCGAGCCCCCTGGAGAGGAGAAGATGGGGGGGTGTACAGACCTCCCCCACCCCACGCAGCAAGACAGGGCTGCTCTGGGATGCAGGCGGGACTCTGCTGCCCAAACATGTGGTGCCTACAGTTGCAGGGTGCATGGGGGGAGCAGAAAGCCTCTGGCAGTTTCACTTCCATGCTGGGGCCCCTGAGTGGGGGTCCCAGGTTTGGGGTGGGGGTTGGTAGCCAGGTGCTGGGGTGGGGATGTTTGGCCCCTGTTTGTGGTTCCCACGAGTGCTCTGGGGCTGCCCAAAGAACTCCATGTTTTGCACGTACTGTAAAGCATTTAGTGTGTTTCACTTGCCCGGTCCCAGGGCTGGCTGCAAGAGTGCAGCCCAGAGGGTGAGGGACAAGGATTCATTTCACACTGGGCATAGAATTGATGGCCCTTTTTTTTTTTTTTTTTTTTTAAGAAGGGCCCATTGTGCAACTGCCCTGTTCCCTGTCCCTGCCCCCCACCCAGCTACACACCCAGCAATTGACAGGTGTTACAGGCACAACCTCCCACCCACCTAAAGCAGCTCCTCCCTCCCTCAGCTCCTGGCAGCCCTTCTACTATGTTTCTGCCCTAAAAGAGCCTGGGACACCCCCTCTCTCCCCCCCCCCCAAGGGTCCATTCCCTTTGATGAGTTCCAGGCTGTTCCTTCCCATGCATCTATGCATGCCCAGTCAACCATATAGATTTGGGTTAAAAAAACCCTACACTGTATTAAATTCAGTCAGTCTTTTTTAACTCAATGTTTTTGAGAAGGGGAAGCAGAAAACTGCAATTACAGGCAATGGTATCTTTCTCTTTCTTGGCATCCAGCTACTTTGTGTCTTGCTCCCCATCTAGGGAGATCCTGGGGCTACTCCAGGCACTGACCCCCTGGAACGCATGATGGTTTGGGTACCCTACTACCCCCCTTGTGGTGTTTTGGCAGCGGTGCAGTCTCTAAAAAGTGGGGGTCCCCACTTAGAAGCATTAGCAGTTTGTGATTGGTTCCCAATCAGTGACATTCTTGGAATAGTTCAAGCTTTGTGCCTGTCCATACCCTAAAAAGGTTCTTCTAAAAGGATTAAGAATCCATAAGGTAGTTACAAGAGGAGGACTGCTCAGATGACAGATGTAAAGGGAAGAGGGAAACAAGTCTATGCTGACAGGTGGTAGACTTTAGGCTGGTAGTAGACCAGGTAGTGGCTGCAAATAGATGCCACTTTTTTATTCTAGGATAAACCATTTATTCCCAGGACAAAGTGCAGTCATTTTGACTTCAGTGTCTGTTGTCCTGGGATGAATCCTGAAAGGGTTTATGAGATAAGATGTACTAACAGTTTATCCTGGGACATTGCAAAGTGAATCTGAATGGTTACCCTGGGGTTGTAACACTGAATCAGTGGCAAAAAAGTGGAAGTGCATTCAGCCACTTGTTAAACCCTGATTTGAAGGGTGATATATATACATGCCAATCCTGGGACATTTCTGTTCCAGGACAAACACAGGCATAACTTGTTCATCAACAGGGAGTAAGGTTTATACCTGGAGAAAAAGTGTAAAGCAGTAGAAGAAGTTTGTTGATCTGAAATCTAAATAGTTTATAAAGAAAAACATAAGAATAGTGGGAGGAGGAAAGGAGGAGGCTGAGGGGCTGATTCGGCTGCAGATGTTGTTCATCTCGCCCATGGGGCCAAATCCATTAGCACCACTGGTCTTTTTTTAAGTCTGTGGTGCTTATGAGTTTCTGTTCCCATGGTCTTCTTGTAAAGGTGCTGGGGAGATTTCCTTTGAGCACTAGAACTGTGAGGTTAGACTATTTAAGTAATTTGAAGTGTTGTGCGATTCAAACTGGCACTGCATTTCTTGGTGGTGTGCGTGTCCTTAAGAGAGCAAATACTGAAAGATTAGAATTTAATTTTCTGCTTACCTTGCATATTGATTTGCTTGTAAAAGTCTAAAATTACAAACACCAGCACAGTTCCTCCCAGTTTGGTTCTGCAGTCAGATTTATGTGGGCTGGTTATGTGGCCTCGTATGGGAGTGCAGCTGTCTGCTCAAATGGGTCTTCTTAGATTTGGGTCTGATTTGTCAAAATGAGTATAAAACCTTGTATCTGGATATCAAAGAATTGAACTGTTTATTCAACTTATTTTCTTGGTAAGTTATAGTTTAAGAAGGATGATCCCAAGCATAGATGCACCAACGTGGGTATAAACTTGCTTGTTTTAAGCTAGCTGCATGTATGCTGGAGTTAAATCAGAACAAGTGTGATGGCAGTAGGGTTTTGTACCAATTTGATTTCTAAATCCAACAGTCACTTGCTTTTTTGAGTAACAATTGCAACTTTCATTATTTCTTTCTGGAAGAAAAGAACTATCTGGCAGCAGTGGGGAGTGAGGATGGTGCACAGTTGATTTACTAGTTGTCTGTACCTAAATTTTATACCTGCACAGCAGGTTGATAAGGCTATAAAAGCAAAACATCATCACTGACGCAATATATTATTATGTATAGGCCAGGCTGTATTCAGTTCCCTAAAACAGGACTGTCTAACTCCTAAGCAGTGGGGTCCACATGTCTTGGGTGGGCACAAGACCTCTGGACTGCACAGTTTGTGGGTTGCCCTGCTGCTATACTGTCTTCCCTGCATTCTCCCTGCCTTATGGGCTTCCCTGTGCCATCCCACCACCACCATGTGGTGTCCTATGTGCCCCCCTGTTGCATGGGCTTCCCCACACCTGAAGCAGAGGGGAGAACAGCACCTGGGAGGGATTTTGTGGCTGCAGTTTAACCCCTTGCAGGCCACCAGCTGGATAGCTCTGCCCTAAAGGGTTGCACAGGCAGAACACACTTGGAACTTTTCTTTTTGCTTTGGACACCCAATAGGAGCCCGACATTAAGCCTCTTAAGAATTAATATCAATGGTGGACAGTGTCAACAGAAAGGGTCAAAATATGTAACTACACATATTTGTCTGAAACCTTGAGAGAGGCTTGAAGGATAGTAGCTAGCACTCTGTCCCACTGCAGTCCCATCTTCAGAGGAAGAAGATGCTAGGAATTTGCTGCTTGTGGGACTTCATTTTCAGTATCAGTCCTGACTTGCAGTTCTTGGATGCTTATGGGGCTGCCTTTCCACCACCCTCTTGTCTTCCAGAAGGGTGGTGCTTATTTGCTTGTCCTGTTCCATGCAGCCACAAAGAATCCACTTGGCACCTAACCTTTGGGTATAGACCTACCCAAAGGTAGGTTTGTGTCAGACATACCATACAATTGGTTCCTGAAAACCGGGTCTTGTAGCCAGGCTCCCTGCTGTACGAGTGCCATGGCGGCAGCTCCCCAAGGCCCCTAGGACCCCAGGTAAGGCTGTTGGGGCCAGCACAGTTGCTGGCCCCAGCCTCCCCTGCCCCGCCTGCGGTAACCTGCTATGCACCAGAGTATGTATGGCGCGGTCATTTCCCAAGGACAAGTAGCAGCGGCACAAGGTGTGCCGCTGCTGCTTGTTCCTAGGGAAATAAACGTTCCCACTTGTCTGGACGTGCCCTTAAGTCTTCTTTTCTCCATACCAAATTACCCCAATTTTTCCAACCTTTATTAGTATGCCATGTTCTCTAGTCCTCCAATCTTCTTTGTTTCCTTTCTGTGGATCTGTACCAGTTTGTCCATCTCTTTCTTGAACTGCAGTGCCCAAAACTGCCCAAAACACATTACTCCAGGTAAGGCCTTAGCAGTGCTCGGTAGAGTGTAAGCTGAATCTCCTGTGACTGGTATATAGTATCCTTGTTAATATATTTAGTACACTATTAGCTTTTTCGGCACTAATGTTATACTGATGGCAGATGCTCAGCATATGTTACACTATAACCCAAAGGTCCCTTTCTACAGTATGGCAGCTTAGGCTCTGCATTTTATATTTGTGCATTTGACTGTTTGTTCCACCTTATTCTAATTTATATTGTCCTACATTTCCTTCAGAATTTTCCACTTTATTAAGGCCATTTTGAATACTAATTCTATTCTCTAAGTGTTTTCTTCCTTACCTTATTTAGTGGTATCTGGTATATAGTTAATTCCGTCTTCCTCTGTCTAAAAGCTCATCGGGTGGGCAGGGCGCAGGGGTCAGTAGGGAATAGTGGGTACTCTGTTTACCAGGGTGTCCCTCAGAGTTACTAGAAACACAGCCATAAACTGAAGGAGAGCAGTTTTAGATTGAACATCAGGAAAAAATTATTTATGGTGAGCTTTGCCAGAATGTGGTATGGGCTTCCAAGGGAGGGGCTTCTTTCTCCTACCTTGGAGGTGTTCAGAAGGAGATTAGACAAGCATCTGGCTGGAGTAACTTGACCCCAGCGCTTTTTCCTGCCCAGAGAAGGGGGTCGGACTCGATGATCTAATAGGTTCCTTCTGACCCTAGAAATCTATGAAATCTGTCATTAATGAATATATCAACAAGTACTGGACTATGGACAGATCCTATATGATGCCTCCACCCAATCTGAAGTTAAGTCATTGATAAATGCAATTTGAACAATATTTTCCAAGCAGTTATTATCCCACCTCTTATAGTTCAATTTAGGCTGTATTTCTCGACTTACTTAGGATAATGTCATGGGGGGCAGTGCCAAAGTCTATGAATGCCACATTCACTGCTTGCACTGCATCTACAGAGCAATACCACCTTTTCATCAAATTGTTGTTTAGGCATGACTTGCTCTTGACAACTCCACATTGGCTGC